ATATGTGTTTATATTTTCTTATGTTTTTAAGAATACAGCCAACATTGATGTGTTTGGTGTACCCATCAACTACAAAATACCAAATACTGTACAAAGGGAAAGAACTCCTGTTAGGAACACTGTGAATAAGGAGATTGATGAGTCACTACAAAGGGAAAGAACTCCTATAACAAATTTGGATCTTTTGGAGAAAAATGAGCAAATGTCAAAAATTAAGGTAAACATACCCAACAATCGTAATAAAGATATTTTTCTGTAGTGTATCTACTCTGTATGAATGTAAGTTAGCTATCTATATAAAAAAAATAGTACCTCTTTTGACTTAATAAATTCTGTAAATTATGTTTCTCTTGTAATGTCATTTTTTAATGTCTTTCACATGATTTTCGTTTACAACAGACTTTATACATGAGAGAACTTATGAGAAGAAAGAGAGAAGATGTCATCTACAGGCATAGAGAGCCAAAAAAAAAGATTTAAAACGAAAACAACAAAAAAGAAATGAAGAATTAAAGAAGGGAGATGATAAAGTTTGCAAGCAAAAGGAGAGAACTATAAAGAGGAAATTAAAGAGAGCAGATAAAGATTACAGAAAAGCTGAACAAGAAAGAGACACATCACGTAGAAAAAAAGTTAGAGAAAATTTCAAATACAAGACAGCTGAAAAAAAAACGAGAAACATCGCAAAGAAAATTACATAGAAATAATCCAGAATATAGAATGGCTGAACAGGAAAGAGACACATCACGCAGAAAAACAGTTAGAGAAAATCTCAAATACAAGACAGCTAAAAAAAAAACGAGAAACATCACAAAGAAAATTGCATAGAAATAACCCAGAATATAGGATGGCTGAACAGGAAAGAGACACATCACGGAGAAAAACAGTTAGAGAAAATCTCAAATACAAGACAGCTGAAAAAAAAAAAGAGAAACATCACAAAGAAAATTGCATAGAAATAATCCAGAATATAGAATGGCTGAACAGGAAAGAGACACATCACGGAGAAAATTGCATAGAAGAAAACCAGTACATAAGGCAGTTGAAAAAGAACGAGAAACAAATGCCAAGAAAAGAAAACGCAGAGATCAAGACTTTAGAGAAAGAGAGAAAATAAATAATACATTGTATCGTAGAGCAAAGAGAAGAGATCCTGTCTACAGAGCCAATGAAAAAGAAGGGGATACAAGAACTGAACAGGAAACATCCACTGACCAGTGCATCAGCAATTTTCAAAGAGCAGTAGAACAAGGACCAGTGTACACTTGTACAAGCTGCTATCAACTCCTGTATAAGCACAGTGTTTGTAAATATTCAGGTGCTTTTTCACATCAGGACAAACAGAAAGATGCTGTAAGAAAATTGCTTGATTTATGTCCACAAACAGTCAGTGCTGCCGGAGAGATATGGGTGTGTAAAACATATCAGTCACATATGAAAAAGGGCAAAATTCCACCATCAGCAGTGCTGAATAAAATGCACTTTACAGATCAAGGCTCCCTCCGTGACTTAAATCCTCTAGAACAAACATTAATTGCTGCAAGATTACCTTTCATGAAAATTCATCAAGCACCCATAGGTAAACAACATTTTATCAATGGAAATGTTGTGATGGTACCAGCTGATGTTTCCAACACAATTAAAAATCTTCCAAGGCTTCCCTCTGATACTGCTACAATAAAAGCCACTCTTAAAAGGAGACTGAGATACAAGCATCATGTGTATTGTTTGAATATACGACCAGAAGCTGTACGAGAAGCTGCAAAGTTTTTAGCTACAACACCTTTATACAAAGAACATGGAATCTCGTTTGATGAAAGTTGGAATTGTGAATCTGAGGTGGAAGAACAAAATATTGATATCAACATTCACAGTAATAGTGTACAGTCAGAATCCAACTCAGAAGATCATCATACACCTGCTTCTTTACTTGCTGATTTAGGGGAAAGCATTCAAATTGGCCAAGAAAATCCAAGGAAAGAAGATGCGAATGGTTCTGTGGAGGATGGCATCAGTGATAATGATGATGATGATGATAAATGGAGTGAGGTAGATAGCTATGAATCAATGTGTGGTGAAGCAGACACGCTTCTAACTGCACCAAGTTTTGTAGATCAGTCAGAAATGGAGCAAGTCTACAACTACGCACCTGGAGAGGGAAGTATTCCAGTAAGCATATTTATGGAGAGAAACAGTGAAGAACTTGCATTTCCAGCTATATTTTGTGGAAGAAGGCGTCCAGGTAATACAGAAAGACCAGTGAGGGTTACTTACGGAGAAATTGTTAAATCAGAGCTCAGAAATGTAGACAGACGAGCAGCCAGATCAGTGGAAAACCTGTTTTTTTAAACAAAGAAAATTCAAATGAAAACCTTGATAGATCAAACACAGATAGCCCTTAGAAAAGTGAAAACTAGCAACCTTAGCCTTTCAGCTAAAGATGTAAAGGGGGATGCTGCATTGGATTTGATCCATCATGATAAGGCATACAAATTTCTCGCAAATATCAGGGGCTCTCCACCATATTTTGAAAAGGTTAGTAAGGACCTTTTTGCTTTCATTCGAAATTTGGGTACAGCAACCTTTTTCTTACCCTGTCTGCAGCAGAGACAAAGTGGTATCATCTACTCAAGATACTTTCACAAGTAGTAGATGAAAAGATTCTCTCAGATGATGAAGTTAGCCAACTAACTTGGCCACAAAAGTGCCGTCTCATACAGTCAGATCCAATAACATGTGCTCGTCACTTTGATTTCTCAGTGCAAAAGTTCCTGAACAAGTTCCTTTTAACAAAGGCTAATCCCTTATTTGAAATCACAGACTATTTCTATAGAGTGGAATACCAACAGAGAGGATCACCACATATCCACATGTTGTTGTGGTGCAAAAATGCCCCATAGTACAGAGAGCACTCAGAGAGTGAAGTTTGTAATTTCATTGATGAATACATTACATGTAAAAAGCCAAATGAAGATGAGTCAATATTTGACCTTGTTCAGGTTCAGAAGCACAAACATAGCCACACATGCAAGAAGCGGAACAGGAAGATATGTAGGTTTAACTTTCCTAGACCTCCTATGAAAGCAACTGCTATCTTAGAACTATGAAATCCCCAGAAATGTCAGAGGAGGACATACATAAACACAAACAATCCTGGAATAAAATTCATGAGTATCTGCAAAGTATTGATGAAAATGATGGAACAATTACCCATGAAGTACTTCTGTCCAGCCTAAATATGACCGAAGAGGAATATGTATGTGCCATTAGAACATCTATTAAAGCAACTATACTGTTTTCCTCAAGCAATCCCCACAGGAAATTCGTATCAACAACTACAACAAAGCTACACTAAAGGCATGGCGTGCAAACATAGATGTTCAGTTTGTTCTAGATGTATATGCCTGTGCAACATATGTTGCCTCTTATGTAACAAAGGCTCAAAGGGGTATGATTGAGCTACTTAGGAAAGCAACAGAAGAAGCAAGACAAGGGAACCAGTCTTTAAAACAGCAAGTTAGATGTGTTGGTAACAAGTTTCTGAATGCAGTAGAGCCGAGTGCTCAGGAAGCTGCCTATATATGTCTACAGCTACCAATGAAAAGAGCTTCAAGACAATGTATGTTTATTAATACCAGTCCACCAGAAGAACGTGTTACCTTGTTGAAGCCAGCAAAAATTCTTGAATCCTTCGATGACGAGGATGAGGATATAGAATGCTCCAATGTCCTCAAAAGGTACGGAGATAGACCACGAGAATTAGAAAATATCTGCTTAGCAGAATTCTGTGCCTGGTATACTGTGGAGGAAACCAAAAAAATATGTTCAAGAGGGTTGAGTAGAACTAAAACTGTAGATAATCTTCTTCCAGAACCAGTAGATGTTGAAAATGAAGATGAAGAAATTAATGAAGAAGAGGAAATTGTCAATAATACCACGAAGGCAGAAAAATACAGAAGAAGAAAAATTCCCAGAATTTTACGAACAGTACACTTCAATCCAGAAAAGGACTCTGAGAAGTACTATCGAGAGCTTATAATGCTTTATTCTCCATGGAGAGATGAAAAAAATTTGCTAGGAAATTACAACTCCTATCAATGCAGATTTAAAGAGTTGGAATCAACAATTGGTACAGAGATGGAAAAATATGAACCCTATTCAAATATTGTTAATCTTGCCCAGGAAGCTCTTGCAAATATGGATGATAACACTGAACCTTGGGATTGCTTGGCTCCTGTTACTCAACATGAAGATGAGATTGAGAGATCATTAAGACCACCTGGAAAAGACCTTGGTATTGAAGATGGGGACATAGCTAGAGAGTTTGGACTGCCTGTCTCAGATGTGGAAAATGAGCTGATCAAGTACAATGAACTTCCAGATGAGGAATACAGAAAGCATATGAGATTTTTGAATGAAGAGCAGCTTGAATTCCTGTATGACACAATGTACAAGTTTAAAACATCATCTACACCCATTTACAGGTTTTTAAGTGGGGGAGCAGGTGTTGGGAAAAGTTTCCTTACTAAAGCAATTTACCAGACAATGTTGAAATACCTGAACAAAGAAGCTGGAAAAGATTTTACGACTCGGAATATACTTGTCATTGCTCCAACAAGGAAAGCAGCTTATCACATTCAAGGGAATACAATTCACAGTGCTCTTAAAATCCTTCCAAATCAAAGTTTGACTTACAAAACCACTATCTTCAAGTTCTCTTAATACCCTGAGACAGCAGATTGGAAATGTTCAAATGATATTTATGGATGAAGTATCAATGGTAGGGTTTAGGATGTTGAATTGCATCAATCAACGCTTGATGGAAGTAATGCAATGTAACAAACCCTTTGGAGGAATTACATTGATAGCTGTTGGTGACTTATTTCAGCTAAAACCAGTTCGAGACTCATACATATTTTCCACTCCCAGATCTGAGTACCTACCTTTAGCAACAAATATTTGGACAGATTTAGTTAAAATGTTTGAGTTGAAAAAAAATCATGCGGCAGGCAGAGAGCAGACACTTTGCTGAGCTTTTAAACCGAGTAAGGGAAGGTGATGAAATAAAGGAAGACATCATCCTTTTGAGGCAAAGAACAGTAGATAGGGAATCGCCTGAATACCCTCAGACAGCATGTCATCTGTTTGCTACAAAGGAATCTGTAAACACATTCAACAGTTCTGTTATCAGTACCTCTCCTAATCCGGTATATACAATTCATGCCAGAGATAGGGTGGTTGGATCAACATCATCAGAAATGACAAGAAAGATCATTGAGTCATTCACAAATTCAAAGGAGAAAAACTTGCAGCTTCCAAATATTTTACAAGTAGCAAAGGACATCTATTCTGAGTTGACTGTAAACTTAGATACAACAGATGGTCTTATTAATGGAGCTTCCTGCAAAATTAAAATCATTGACATCATGGAGAGAGAATCACAAGCTTCTGGTGTTATATGGGTGGAATATGATGCACCTTTAACTGGAGCCAAGTTAGGAACAGACAGTAGGAGGCTCTATCGTTCATGCCATCAAAAGCAGTGGACTCCAATACAGCCAGTATTGAGGCAATATGCTGCTGGACATAAGGGTCAAGCACAATTACAAAGGTTCCAGTTTCCATTGAGGGCGGCGCATGCAAAAACCATCCATCGTTCTCAAGAGGGTACATTGTCCACAGTGGTAGTTGATTTGACAACAAAAAGAAAGGTTGATCATATGCATTATGTTGCACTAAGCCGCTGCCAGTCTCTAGACAATCTTTTCATACTCAACCTTCAAGATGATAAAATAAGTGTAGACAAGAGTGTTCTTGAAGAAATGAAGAGATTGAAATCATTCCCAATAGAAATGGACCTTAAATTTCTTTACAATGTACCATAGTGCCACAAAATTGCTTTTCTGAATGCTCGGTCTCTGAATAGGCACATGGAGGATGTAAGGAAAGATCACAACATTGATGCCCTGGACATTGCATGCTTTTGTGAAACAAGATTCAGTCACAAAGATGCATTAGACAGTACTTCTATTGGAAATTTTGAGCAGTATAGAAAAGATTGTTTAAAGGAGAACTGCCAAAGATCAGCATATGGGACAGCTCTGTATATAAGATACCCTGTGGACATAGTTGAATTCCATCAAGCATTCCAAGGAATTGAAATACTGATGTTTCGAAGTGAATTTATTGAGGATGTACTATTTGTCATGCTGTACAAACATCCTAAAACACCTATTGAGAGACTATGTGCATTGCTGAGGACAATTCAAACAGAATATATCAACACCACTTATTCTGTGATCATGGGGGACTTAAATGTGAACTGGGCAAAGCAATCCTCAGAAAAAGACAGCACTGCAAACATTACTTCTTGAAAACTTTTGTTATAAACAGCAAATTTCCTCTCCTACAAATTACCATGGATCAACAATAGATCTCATCTTCTCAAATATTCCTGGTGACAGAAGTCCAGAATGTGGAGTTATGGAAGTTTACTACTCTGACCACAAAATAATTTGGTTTGCTTGCAATTAAGGCAAGACATACTATAGTATTATGTTTTTCTTTAGCAAAAGAATTCATAATTGGAAACATGGTAATACTTTAAGTTGCAAAACTGTTATCCAAGGTTTAAAAACACTTAGCAAAAGAAATCATACAATTGTTATATTTATAGTACTTAGGTCAGTGTTCACTTTTTAATACAGTTACTTTTAAATTTTGAAAAAATGCAGAAACTGATACATACTGTATATTATTGAAATGGTGAGATTAAATTATCATATTTATAAATTCCCATTTAGTCCAAGTTGTTTGCTTGAAAGTAGGGTTTATTTTACAATTAATTAAATCAGTTTATTGAAAACATGTGGAAACATATTAATTTACATGTATATCCTTTTGATTTTAAAAAAACCACTGTCAACATTTAGAGGTAATATTAAATGAGGCCTTAAAGTAGGTGAAATCCTTATAGCAAGGATGACATGACTTGTTCCCTGCACACTCAATTAATAGGAGACGGGCGTATTATGTGCCGTTGCGATGCTCTTTATTTCTTGCTGACATTTCTAACATATAAGGTAGAATATTAAATTTTATATCGATAAAATAAGTGATTTGGTCGTCCACAACGCAGAAAATTCAGGTTGTATCGTGTATATTTTAGGAAAATTAATGAAGAGCTGATCAGCCATTGTCGCCTTTGACGTCACAGGGTCACGTGATCGCTATCTAATTAGCTTCTATACTAATAAATCAATAAATTTTGCAAATAAACTCCGAAACGGGTGCACCAGAGTTCTTACTCCTCTAACAATACACTAGATACAAGCTGATGTCCGTAAACTATATTTAGATTTCACTCGCATAGTAAGTATCGTACATTAAATTAAAAGTCTACTTTCATTTTCTATAAACAGCCATGAAATAGCTAAAACGTGAGTACGGTGGCGTTTCCGGTTGGCGGATCTAAGTTACTGGCAATTTTTAATGAAACTGACAACAAGCAATCGTTTATTTATTACATAAAACGTCATCACTGAATTATTCAATTAAAACTCGATTTAAATGATATAAAAGAAATAAGTTGTGATAACCGATTAAAAAGGAAAATGTGCAAAATATTTTCGTCATTCACCGATCTTTATATTGACGGAAGCTTCTAGAACATCATATAGCATCGAGCCCGATGTTAAGAAAAAAAGGAGGCGATTATAGCTACATGACCATAAGAAAAGCTTTCGTGTAAATGGTCATAATTGAAGTAATGGTAAATCACTGATAACACTATAAGTTGTGAATATAATTATATATCGAAAGACTATTACATTTACATGTATGTAGTAGGTTTTCCTAATAAATTTATCGGTAAAATTTGTATATATTCCTACTGAGCGCATCGTGACAACGAACCCGAAGTACAATTTGTACTTCGTAATAAACTTGCTTACATGAAAAGAGAAAATTAATGAATACGGTATTGTTCAAATACAATTAAAGATGTAAAATATTGCGCTTTAATCAATGCACAATTAATTTCTAAATACAATCTTTTATAGCTGCAATAATGTAGCCCTCTCGTTTTTGAGGGGGGGGGGGGGGCAGAGAGAGAGAGAGAGAGAGAGGGGCCAGAAAATATCAGATCAAATAAAAAAAAAACCCGGAGAGGGCTATATTATTGCAGCTTAGTCTTTTGTATCAAATACTCAGCCTATTCATAGGGCGATAAAAGCTAATTTTTACACAGGTACTTGGTTCTTGGTTTATAAATATGTATGTACCTTATTGACAGGTAAAAAAGTAAAGTACATTTTACATATCAATAAGGTACAAACATATTTATAAACCAAGACCCAAGTACCTGCGAGTTTTTACCCCCCCCCCCCATCAATTTATTAGTAAAAGGTTCAAATTCGTTGCTTTTATCCTTGACGGAAATGAAATTAGAGCATCTGAAGTACAATATCCATAACACAGTATAACAGGTTTCACAATAAAAGTCAATTAATGAAATTGCTATTTTTTCAAGTTTAAAAAATAAATAAATAAATAAAACAAAAAAAAGGAGGGGGTTGTTTTGGGGGGGGGGGGGGGATTGGATAGGTATATCTACTTCATGCGGGATTTTTAACAAAGTATTTGTTCCTGCATGCTGAACAAAGTATTTGTTCCTGCTATAAGCCGGTAGGTTGTCAATAGAGAACTACAATATATTTTCTGTCGGTAGTGGTATAAATTCAATTCCCCGCGCTTGCGCGGGATTTCATCTAGTAGATTTTTAATTCAGGGGTTTTCATTTGAGTCAATAATTAGTTAATTACCGCAATTTATCCACAGTAAAAACACAGAATTTATAAATTGTGGACATGAGGAACGTAATACGCTTTTAATCTCAAATAATTCAGAATTATGCGATAAGTCCTTTAAGGGACATTACATGTAATTAATGACGCTATGCATTGAAAACATGACGTCACAAAGAGCAATCATGTTGAAAATATGTACTTGAAACAAATTCTCCCGTCTTCGCAACTATGATAAATATTCAATCAATATTTACAGCGTAAAAAAGTAATAACGACATAAGTTGGGCTGGTTCAGACGATCAATTTACATTTAATTACATACATGTACTTCCAAATAAAACGCACGTCTCCTTCATAGTGGACATTGAATTTATTTGACTTTTTATTGAAAATCATCAGCTTTCTTAAGTTATGTTATATTCGTTTTCAATTTATATGTGTGTGGGATTCATAAATATCAAAAGACAATACATGTAGCTAGTGATCGGGGCAGATAAAGGGGGAGGGGAGGGGGGTAGGAGGGAAGATTGGCGTATACTAGTAGAAGTCACCATATGAACTTTTTTTTTCAAAACTTGTTATCCTTGTCACTGTATTGTTGCAGATTTTTATTTGACAAAATTAATTAAGTCAAAAAGGATTCTAGTGTTTTATCGCATAATCAGGTTCTAAAGTGTGTTATATATTACTAAACACTTCTAAGTCTGCCACTGCCGACCTACATTTACTTATTGAAGGTCTGCAGCTGGGAATGGAAAAGTTCTTATGTACACTTATTAATTATATATACATTTATCATGCTGATTGGAAAATTGACATCAATGTTTTGTAAAATCGGGTTTAATTTATAACTTACAAGGAATTATAGATAAAGAAAAATTAATTATGTTGACAAACTAAGTTTATAAGGCTTATAAACCTAGACAGTGGTGTACTTTTTCGGCATTTTCTACCAAAATTTAAGTGAAACATGATACAATCAACCTTTTTATTGTCTATAAATAAAGAATATCTGTTCCCAGTTCTGTAAGAAATACAAACACGATCATTCATTAATTGTGGACAAGACCACCCCCTAATCCCCGCTCCATAAACGATGATTTAACTCGATTATTTTTTTTTCCAGAAAGTATTTTTACATTTTAAAGGCATTCCAGCTCTTGAAATGAAAAACGAAAAAAAAAAGATTACTCTAGAGATATCTACCTGTGTAAAAAACGAATGTACATATTAACTACACTACTGGTATATATTGATAATCTTGAAGTAAGCTAGTATTTTTAAAAGGATTTTATCCAGATTATCCATGAAATAATACGTTAAGTATGTCATAGGAAATATGTTCAGTATTCCAATGGATGTACATCGGGGCTGGAGAAGGGGGGGGGGGTTGTTCTGCCCAATATCACCTTTGTGAAAACGGTGCACCTTACCTCTGAATTTTTCAACGTCCGTCTATGATGATAATCCGTTCCGGAAAAAAATATTTTAAGTATTTTATCGTTACTACAAGGACAAATGTAAAGATTTGTGGAGGAAATGCCCCAGAGAGTTAGTGTATCCGAAAAAGTTATAAAATTGCCATTGTTACTGAAATATATCAAATATCTTACCTACGGTTGTGTAACATGTAAACATCAGGAGGAATTCAAAAGCAAAATCATTATCTATTTTAAAGCAGTTTTTGTCTTAGTAGATGTATAGTCATGTAATTCAGGTCAGCAGTTTGCTAGGTATATTTTTAAAGATTTTTTTTTTATCAGACACTAACATGAAAAAGAAACATAATCAAGCGATATTATCCAGGAATGGCAAGGATAACTCTATAAGAAACGCTTTGACGTGTTTTATTTATTGTTCCCACAACTGACAAGTAACAAAATAACATCAGATTTCGTATAATTTGATAACTGAATAAGAAATAAAATCTCTATGTAGCATATCAAAAGGGACGTGAAAGTGAATTTTGATTCTTTTATGTGTGTTGGTATTCTGCATTTCAATTTTTTGTATTTTGTCTCCATTTAAATAGAAGTGTGTGTGTGTGTGTATCGGGGGGTGGGGGTTGGTTACTGATA